CAAAAAGAATTCACAACTTTTTTACGCAACTAAGTTTGTTTCCAAAACATTTTGTAAATCATTAATTTGTAAACAAAAATTTATTAAGACCATTTAAGATAAGGACGTAAGGTTTAATTAAAAAAAAAAATGTAAATAAAAAGCATTTGTGGTTTTGGAGAAATCAAAATTTAAAGTTGACCGGATTTTTCCGTGTCCACCCGATAGACTTCAAAATGAAATAATTCCAAGTTATTTTTATAAAAATTTTTCTCTAAATAATCAATAATATGAAATAAGACATTCAATAAGTAATTATTACATTCCACTAACATCGCTAAAAAAAATCTGATTTCTAAATTAGGAAGAACTTGTGCTAGTGGAACTCTGTTTTTGACGAAAATATTAAAAAAAAAAAATCTATTGATATATTTAAAAGAACTATAAAAAAACACTTACTAAATTTAAACAAAACATGCTGTAAAACGGTATGTTGACCAAGAATGGCCAATTGAAGCAGCTAGTGAGTTATTTGGTGTTTCAAATTATCTAATAATAAAATCTAGATTTTAGCAAAGAAAGAAGGAGTTCTTGCAGCTCCACAAACTAAGCGAGGTAAAATGTTCAAATAAATACTTTAGTGAAAAACTTTTATGAAAATGATGAAAATTCTCGCCAGATGCCTGGTCAAAAGGATTTCGTAAGTGTTAGTTAGAAAGTACATATACAAAAGCGACTACTTTTATCAAGCTTAAAAGATTTATTTGTCTCATTTAAAATTCTATATCCACATGTAAAGTTAGGGTTTTCCAAGTTTTGTGTTTTAAGACCTAAATGATGTGCTTTGCCAAACTCATCAGGAACCCATTCTGAGTGCGTTTGTATCTACCATCAAAACATCAAGTTAATTCTCCTACTCATTAAAATTGATTACCATCTATATAAATTTATTGTTTGTGATATGCAAAACAAAGAATGCATGTTACATCGATGTACACAATGTCCGAAAAATATATCTAAATTAGAAGAAAAGCTATTCAAACTAATAGGCCAGTTTGAGGAAGAAGATATTAGATTTCAGATATGGAATATAGGAAGAAGATATCAGATTTAGTTATACAGCTTGTAAGCATACCAGATTATGTAAATATGGTGATGGAAAAACAGTCAATATAATGGCATTTATATATTTCTAAATGCCAATCTAAATATATAAAAAATCTTAAAGAAGAACTGCCATCAAATAGCACAATAATTCTAGGATATTTTGCAGAAAACTGTAGTTTTGTTGCGCAGGATGAAGTACAAGGTTTCCATTAGAATAATCTTCAGTGCACAACCACTTCATCCAGCGGTTGTGTACTATAAAGAAAATAAAGTTTTGTATTTCACTTCATATTGCATTATATCAGATGATAATAACCATGATGTACCAATAGTTTACGAGGTATAAAAATCAATTATCAATAATCTTCTGATGTTCATCTCAATATAAAAACTGCAAAATATATTTAATCTATGTCAGCATAAATCAGACTTTGGAATAGATACAAAATGGGTTTTCTTTGCAACCAGCCATGGAAATCAACCTAATGGTGATATAGGAGGAACAGTTAAACGGCTTGTAGCTAATGTTAGTTTTGAGAGAATTTTAGTAAAATATGTTTACATATTGCACTAACAACATCAAAAGTATAACCTTTATTTTTATTTTAAGTGAAAGTTCGATAGAAACAAGATTATTACAATCTGAACAATTAAAAAATGTAAAACAATACCAGGAGCAAGAGACTTTCATGAATTTATTTCTGTATGTCAAAATGAAGTTAAGATGAAATACTGCAGTGATGACACTATCCTTATCTGGACTTACAAGTTTAAAAATTGAGAGATTCAAGGTGATGTGCAAATTTGATGTGGAATTTAAATTTATGCACTAACAAGGCTCTTGAATCTTAAAGACATTTACTTGTTTCCTTTTATCAATTATTACTTAGAATCGACAGTTTTCTTATTTCTATGATTTGTATATGACAATATTTTGCATTTATTAAAAAATATTACCTTATTTTGTTTTGTTTTACAGTCCAAAGAAAAACAAAGGAATATTTGAAGTTCAATAATTTGCATAAAAATTTATCAATTCATAAAAACACGGAATTCAAAGAGTTAATGTGTTTTGATATTTAAAATTAAGTTTATTTATGTACATGCATGTCATGAATATTGTAACTTTTCTAAGTGAAAAAACCTCTTTTTTTTTGACTAGCTCTGAGTGAAAATACTTGTTTTTAGTATTTAAATATTTTATTATTTAAATATTTTATATTTAAATAGTTTATTAAATATACATATTGTAGTTTTACACATAAGTAAGAACTCTTACTTTCTGGTTGTGCTTAAACATAAGTACTAATTCTTACTTTCTGGTTGTGCTTAAACATAAGTATTAATTCTTACTTTCTGGTTCTTTCCATGTTTTGTTCTCGATGATGCCAGTCTCTTTGAAACGCTCATATAACTTTCGTACCCCAGAGGCAGTCACACCACTTCCAATTTTGTCTGTAATTGCTCTATAACTATAGCCCTCTTCTTTACAGTGTGATTGCAGTTGCTCTTTTTTTAGATGACCAATCAGTCCTTTTAACATCCCCCCCCCCCCATTTTATATCCCCAGCCAAAGCCATCTGCTTCTTGAACAAAAAGTGCTAAGTGCGGCCACAATTTTGTCCATGAGAGTTTTACGGTTTAGCATCTAATAATAAACATTTACTTGTTACTAAGGTCGTTGCTAGGGGAGCATGATAAGTAAAAATGTTACTAAGTTTTAAATTTTAAACGAGCATAACTTCTAAAATATTCCAATTTGTTTAAAACAACTTTGGGGAGTTTTTTTTTGCTTAGTTATTTAAGTATCTGTGTTGCAATAATCAAGTCATTAAGAGATAGTGGGTTATTTTTTTGAATTTTTGTTGTTGTTTTGACACGGGATTACCCATAGATAAGTATAGAAATAGTCGGTTTGGTATAGACCCGTATTTTAAGGGTTCAGGTAGCTAGGATATATATATATATATATATATATATATATATATATATATATATATATATATATATATATATATATATATATATATATATATATATATATATATCCAGCAAGTTTTTCTATAGATATAGTACAAAATTGCCTCTACCACCTTGATGAAAGAAAACCAAACGGCTACGATGGTTTACATCCACGGGTCCTTAGTAAATGTGCAACTAGCTTCGCTCAACCACTTTCATCTATAAGTGCTCGTTCGCGACTGGTGTAGTCCCCGACTTGTGGAGAAAATAGAACATAACACCAATTTTCAAGAAGGAGAGTAAAATAAATGCATCAAACTACCGGCCTATTTCGCTCATATGCATTTCATGCAAAATAATAGAAAGTATTCTTAAAACAAATATAATGGAACACTGTTTTGCTAAATTTTTTTTTTTTTAATTTAATTTTCCGTTTTTGTTACAATTAAATTCCGTAATATAATACCAGATACTCTTATTCTTTCAAAAATAAACCAGTCATAAATATAAAAAATCAAAGACAAAATAATAAGAGTTAGTTATACAAAAATAAATAAAAACGCGGGAAACTTGCAGAAGAGCACTATGTCTTATCATCAAGAACCGTTGTAATTATGTTTTTACAATATTAAATTCCTATAATAGTTTTAACCTAATTAGCTAAGGTAAATAGTGTTAAAATTAAAAACTTTTCAATGTAAAAAGACAAAAACAAACAAACAAACAAACAAAAAAACAAATCAGTTTAAAAGAAATCATTAATAAGATTTGTATACTTTGAAATATTCTTTTTTATTAGTTTTTGAAAGCAATTTATATTGTTTACACCTGGTAAATCACTATATTTTGCTAAGATTTTATTCCAGATATGCGGAGCACGATAGGTAATTTTAAATTGTTCTTGTTTAGTTTTGCACAATGGTTCAATTAAGCCTGTTGGGCGTAAAGTATATTTAATGTTAGGTTTTATTTCATAAAGATCATTAAAAATTGAGGGGCATTGTTGAAATTTACTTTTGTACATGAGACATAAAATTTTATAAAGGTTTATCTTGTATAACGTAAAAATATTCATATTTCGAACAGTGGTTTTGCATGTTGGTTTTTATTTTTAAAATTCATTATTCTTAAGGCATGATTTTGTTTTTGATACAGTGTTTCAAGCTTGCTTTTAGATGTACTACACCACGCAATATTCGCGTAATTCAAGTAACTTCGTATAAAACTGAAAGAGATTTGTTTTAGATGATGTTTATTAAGTAAATCCCGTGACTGATATAGAACGCCAATACTTTTTGATATTTTGCTGCCAATATAGACAATATGTTTATTCCAGGTAATATTTTCGTCAATGAGAACACCAAGTAATTTTGTGACTCTTTCGCGACTAAATTCTGTGTTTTCAATAACTAGTTTTGGAAAAGAAATAGGATTTTTTTTTTAAAGGGTGGAATAATGAGAACTTTGTTTTAATTGAATTAATAGAAAGTTTATTTGCATTGAACCATAGTGAAATTTTATCTAACTCGTTGTTCATTTGTACGAAGAGTTGAGGTATATCTTTTCCTGAAATAAAAAAGTTACTGTCGTCAGCAAACATTATTGTTGATATATTTGACGCTCTCCAGAGATCATTCACGTATATTAGGAAAAGTAGAGGTCCAAGAATAGATCCTTGGGGCACTCCACAAGAAATTAAAGATGAATTTGTAAGTTTTTTATTTCCGTAATATATGGACTGTGTACGTTTACTCAAGTAATCTGCTATCCACCTGCAGGATACGCCTCTTATGCCGTACATCTTAAGCTTTTTTATCATTATTTTATGATCCACTGTGTCAAAGGCCTTGGAGAGGTCAATAAATACGCCTAAAGTAAAATTCTCCGTTTGCAAAAGAGTTTTTTATTTCATTAATTAAGTGAAGTATTGCATGTTCAGTTGAAGTGCTTTTCTAAAATCCAAACTGTTTTGAATAGAATAAGTCATTATCTTTAAAAAATGCATATAACCGATTTAACATAATTCGCTCAAAAATCTTAGAAAAAATGGAAAGTATAAATATTGGTCTATAGTTTCCAATATCCGTTTTATCGCCTGATTTATATATAGGTTTAACTTTTGCTGATTTAAGTATATCAGGAAAGATACCCTCATTCAGAGAACGTTTACAAATTTTAAATAAAGGCACTTTTAGCTCATTATAACAGTTAATAACAATGTTGCTGTTTATACCATCAATTCCAGAAGATTTATAACGTTTCAAACTATTAAAAGCTGTTTCGTATTCTTTAAAGGTTAAATTCTCATTTTTAAATTGATTTTTATTGTAATGAAGGTATTCCTTAAATGATTTATTTACATTTGGAATTTTTGCCGCAAGTTTAGGTCCTATATTCACAAAAAAATTGTTAAATTCATTTGCTATATTCTTTTCATTGGTAATAGTTTTATTTTTAATATGCAAGATTTTCGGTATGAAAGATTTATTGATTTTTGGTTTTCCAATTATTTCATTTAGTACTTGCCAAGTTTTCCTAGAATTTAATTGACACTTTTCAAGTTACTTTTTATAATAGTTTGATTTTGCATTTCGTTTGATTTTCTCAAATAAAGTCCTGTAGTTTTTATATTCTGCCTTGATCTTTATGCACTTATTTTTTAGATATTTATCGTACAGTCGATGTTTTCGCTTCGAAGCTTTTTTTAAACCTTTACTAAACCATAGCGAATTTAAGTTTTTAATTTTAATTGTTACTTCTTTCTCTGGGAAGTGTTTTTCATACAAGTTTAAAAAATTGTGATGGAAGCTATTAAACATGGAATTAGCATCATTGAATGATTCTAATGGAGACCAGTCTATATTTCCTAGCTCATTTTGAAACGCTAATTGATTGTTTAATGATAGAAGGCGTTTAGTAAATGTGACTTTATTTTGTTTTTCTTTTTGTTTATTTGACGTATTTGCGGATATGAAAATTGGCATGTGATCTGAAATTGGTGCTTTAACTATTCCTTTTTTTAACGAGTTTTCAAATTAAAAAATTAGTTAATATATTGTCTATTAATGTTGCAGAATTTCTTGTTATTCGTGTTGGTCTGTTTATTAAAGGGATCACACCATATCGAAATAAATCATTGTAAAAGCTTTGACTTTCTATATCATTGTCATAATTTAGGGCGTTAATATTAAAGTCACCTAAGACAAACAGTTTTTTTTTCTAGAGAAACTTTTTGAATAAAATTCTGGAGATGATTTGAGAAATTTTCTGTGGACGCATTTGGCGGTTTGTAACAACAAGTTAATGACTAATGACTTAATTACTCCAAAGCTAATGACTATGCTTTGGAGTAATTACGACAGTAAAATTATTGGCATAATTAAAAATGAGTCGGACAGCACCACTCTCCAAGCCGAAATTGACAGAGCAGTGGAATGGTCACATATTTGGCTTATGCATTTCAACATTGAGAAATGCAAAGTAATGCATGTCTCCGCACTTGTAATAAGTCGACGCACAATTACTCAATGGCCAACGTTGACGGCACGCGTTATCCACTCGAAAAGACTGTAATCGAACGAGAACTTGGTGTGATGGTCTCCAAAGACCTTAAAGTGAGACCACAAGTAGAGTCAGCTGCATCAATTGCGAATGGAATGCTATAGCGACTCATGAAAACATTTCGGAGTCGCAGTTTTTATTGATGGCGCACATTGTATCTTATCGCCCTCACGTCGAGTTTGCTGTCCAAGCCTGGTCCCCGCATTTAAAATCCGATATTATCCGCTATCCTCGAACAAGTCCAGCATCAATCAACAATAAAAATATCATCTAATAAACATCTGTCGAATAAAAATCGACTCCAACAACTCGGTCTAACAACACTTGAAGAACGCCATAAAAAAGCAGACCTAATCGAACAATTTAAAATCACGCGTCAACTCAAACTTGTCAATTTTTTCGTTCCACAAAAATTTTCAAACAGTAAACCCAAGTATATTTTGAGAGGGCATAATCAAAAACTAGAACGCCAGCTTGTACGAAATTGTGAAGAACGACAAATCTTTTTTTCATATAGAGTTGTTGTCCCATGGAATGCGCTTTCCCAAGCAGTAGTGAACGCTCCATCTATCCATGCTTTCAAAAGCAGTATAGCAAAGTAACTTTTAGAGACACAATTGCTGCTTTGTCTTTAGCTTCTGTGTTTTTTATTTTCGTCAGCATATAGGGTCCTGGTGTAGTATCTCTTCATCAAACCTTAAACAAATTTATTGTATTTTTTTTTTCTTTTTTGATTACTGAATAATAATAATAACAATAATAATAATAAATAAATAAATATATATATATATATATATATATATATATATATATATATATATATATATATATATATATATATATATATATATATATATATATATATACATATATATATATATATATATATATATATATATATATACATATATATATATATATATATATATATATATATATATATATATATATATATATATATATATATATATATATATATATATATATATATATATATAAAATATATATAAGTAAAAAGTATATAAAAGGTCGGTATTTTTACGGGTCCGATTAGCTAGTGCTATTTTATTTGACAACGGCTTCTCCAAATACCGGCAGAATCATAATAATCGGGTTGTACCGATTCAGAATAATTTTCTCATATTATTTTTTAAAAAAATGCTGTATCCGGATATTATGTTACAAAAATGCAATATCAGAAATTTTTTCATTAAATTTAAAATATTATGATTATATATGATATTTTTATTTACTTTATTTTTTATATATTATAAAGAAATAAGTAATAAATTTAAAAAAATGTTTTATTCATAAATAAAAGATGCAAAGTATTTAAGAAAAAATATATCTACTAATTAATTTTATGTTGAAGCTATTTATGGTTTTATGTTTATTGTTAGATTTTTGATTATCTCACTTTTAGTAATTTGTTATACTACTTTTTAATTGCTGTTACTATAATTAAATGTAAACATTATTGTTTTCTATTATATTATTATATTAAATCAGAAAATTGCTCTATGAGTATGTTTTTGTAAACGGTATAAGTTAAGTTTAGATTATATTAATATGATACAATATAATATAACATATATATATATATATATATATATATATATATATATATATATATATATATATATATATATATATATATATATATATATATATATATATATATATATATATATATATATATATATATATATATATATATATTAAATTAAGATTTATAATCTAGAAATGATCTGATAATAATTTAACTATAAACTTTTATAGTATAGTATTTATTATAAAAGCTTATAGACACATATTTGCTCACATGTAAAATATTTTAAATGCTAATATTTAAAATACGTATTTGAAATACTTTTAAAGTATTTGAATTTTTTATTTTATACTTTTTCACTCAAGTTGTTATTTTTTGTATTCTAAATCAATTTTTTGTATTCTAAACTCAAAAAATACTTTCAGAAAACTTGTATTAAGTTTTCTGAAAGTATTTTTTTTTATTAAAAATTAAAATTTAAAAAGAAAGAAATGTTACAAATTGAGGTCTGAAAGATGGTAGTTTACACAAGAAAGGTGTCTCTGCAAAAACGTTTTGTAGTGAAATTGGTTATCAACTAACATTTAGTTTAGCTACTTGTAAACAATTTATTTATAAACTACAAAAAACAATTCTCCAATGTTGTGGAGAATATTACCATAAACTCCATTGAGGAAACCAGGGGAGACTCTTTAAGGGAAAATTAATTATTTTCTGGGATTTCTCATGCCAGCAGTTTAACAAGTTTGTAGGAGACTTGTGATGCAAAATATTTAAAAGGATTTTAAACTTTTGCTTGAAAGTATTTTGACTTTGTCAAAATACTTTCAAGCAAAAGTTTAAAATCCTTTTAAATAAAAATATATATATTGATAAATATATATATATATATATATATATATATATATATATATATATATATATATATATATATATATATATATATATATATATATATATATATATATATATATATATATATATATATATATATATATATATATATATATATATATATATATACAACAACTGTTGTATATATATACAACAGTATATATATACATTATATATAACATTTCATAAAAAATATATATATTTATCAATTTATATATTTTTTGTGAAAGATAAATATTGTTAACACTATAGTATAAATATCAGGCCTGTAGCAACCTGGGAAGCAGCAAGGCAATTTGCCCCCCTCCCCAATAATTTTCAAAATAAATAATTTTGAAGAAATTGACTGAAAAAATGTCAAAAAAAAAAAAGGTCCTTAAAACTGTTTTGGGGAAGTTCTGCCCCCTTCCCCCCAATATAAATTTTGTTCCTACGGGCCTGAATATTACAATAATATTATTGATATTTAAAATATTGTTGATATTTAGTTTATCATAATCATTATTTCATTTTAATTAGAATTAAAAAAAAAAAAACATTCTAACAATTTTTTCTTAGAAAGTATGAGTTACCAACTTTATCGCAATACAACATTGGGAAACAGTCTGCAGGAAAGTTTAGATGAGTTGATTCAGTCACAGCAAATTACTCCACAATTAGCTTTACAAGTTCTTTTACAGTTTGATAAAGCGATAAACAATGCACTTGCAACAAAGGTTAAAAACAGGATTAATTTTAAAGGTCGTCTAAATACATACCGATTTTGTGACAATGTTTGGACTTTTGTTTTGAATAATGTGACTTTTCGAGAAGTTGGTGATGCAGTCAAAGTTGATAAAGTAAAAATAGTTGCATGTGATGGCAAAGAATCAAGAGCAAGTGAAGAATAAATTAAAAACAATAGTAAAATTCAAAATAATTAAAAGTGATCAAATCAGATGCAGTCTAATTATTGTTATAAAAAATTTTTTAGTTAAATTATTTATGGAGAAGGCATATTTAAATGTTATTTTTTGATTTATTTTTCTTGGAAAAAAATTATTTTATTAACCTGGAGTTAAAACTTGTTGTATTTAATTACCACAAATGGTTGTTATGGTCACAATTAAAATATTTATCATAAATAACTTAATTGATGAGTTATTGTTGTAATTAAGTAGTTTTTGAGTATCAACTTTATTAGAGTTATTGGAAATCATTAAGATATTACAGTGATTTATCTTTTTATTGTCAGTTTTATTTCATAAACTTATGAAAGCAAATATGTATTTTTTGCTTTAAGCAAATTATCTGTTTGTGTTTAACACTAGTGATTTACATTATTACTTTCATCTTTTAATTAGTATTAAAATATTTATTTTTTAAGTTTAAGTTAATGTAAAAATATTTATTTACTTTATGTTTTAATATTTATATTGGTAGTTTCGTGTTTGAAAATCAATTGTAACCATAAAACCAAATTGTATATTTGCTTTTAAAACCAATCCAAAGATCCAAATTTCGGAAATAAATTGCGTTTTTGATCTATTTAGTATTAGAGAATCATAAAATATCTCTCACTAAATTCTATTAAGTATGCCTGTTTTTTAACTTTTAGGAAATATATAAATAAAGAATATTATTTGTATATTTCTTAAAAATACTTTAAAAATTTAGGAGTTTCAAAACTTTGAGTTATAAGATTTTTATCAGTAAGTATTGTAGAAACTTCAATAAAAAAAGATATGTTGATACAAAATTGTCTTAACTAACATTAAAATAATTATGAACAATAGGTAAAGAACAGTTTATTTTTTGAGTTAAATAATTTTTGAGTCAATTGAGTTTTTAGTTAATCAAATAAGTGAGATATCAATGTATGTTAAATACAAATACGATTATCTATGAGAAAAATTTTTAAAATTATGTGGTATTTTTCAATTTATTCAATTTATAGTTCAATTTATATGCAATTCAATTTATAGCAATTACATATTTTAATAATTCAAAAGTTCAAAAAAATAGAAACTGAAATAATTGAAAATAAACCTAAAATAAAATTAAGTAAGAAATTAAAATTAGTGAGAAAAAATAGATTTAATATTTTAACTTTATTTAATCTATTTTTTTGGTAATCATATAGCTCAATGCAAAAGCTTAATTAAGAAAAGTTATAAAATTACTATCCTTTTTATTGCACATAATTTTGAAGGACCTTAAACTTTTGTAGTGTTTCAGGAAATAATTCAAAACAAGATTTTATTATATACAAATATATTATTAGTGTTATTAGCTGTTTGTATGGGTATTATAGTGGTATATATCTGTAATGGTAAAAGCTAAAAGACCCACAATTTTGACAAATTATCAATGATGATTAACAATTATTATTTTGCATATTAATCAAATCAAATTAACTGTAGTTATATTACATATATATTGCATAAGTGTTACATTCTGTTTATGTTTCAATACAATTAACTTTATTTAGATAAATTTTAATAAGAATAAAATGAGCAGTGATGATTTTATTAGAAAGAAAGAAAATTCAATGTTTTTTAAAGAATATAAACAACAGTACCTAAAAGAGAGACAAGCAAAGTTAAAAGAGAATTCCGATATAGATTGCAGTATACCAACACTTTTATAATTTTTAAAATAAAAAGGTCTTATTAGTTATAAAAAAAATATTTTTACTTCTCATTCGTTTAGGCAATAGAGAAGAAGATTTCACTGAGGTATATTTTGAAAAAATTAGTTAATTTGAGTTCTTATTTATGTGGTAAAATCAGCTCTCAAAATTTGAAGTATCAGCTTACTTGGCAATTTTTAAAGTGTATTTTTGTTTCAAAATGGTGCATTAATTTAAAAGAAATTTTTATCAAAAATCTTAAACTTTGAAAAAACGTATAAAAATTAGGCTTAACATAAAAAATGTGTTGGAAGAAAAGATGCTAGATAATTGGCTTTAAAACAGAAAAATCATAGTTTTTTATAGTAAGATGGGATTATCTTATGCCTTTTTTTATTTCAAATCATTTGAAATTAGTGAATGAAAATTGTAATTATTGTTTCAGTACTTTTATTTTTGCTATAGTTTTGAACTCCATCTGCTTGATAATGTAAAATCTTCTTCATTGGTTTGAATTTTTAGAAATATAGGTTCAATTCAAAAAAAGTTTTTGCAAAAATTATTTCAAAACAGTATTTAATTAAGTTACTTTTTTTAAGTTAATTTATTTAATTAATTAAGTTAATTAATTTAATTAAGTTGGCTAGGTATTAAAATTTTATTTTATTTTATGAAACTTAATAAAAAATTTTATCTTACAGTTCTCGTCATATGACGTTTCTTTATAGTTTAAGTTACCAAGTACTAAGCTTGTTTATTATAGTTATATTAATAATAATTATAATCATAATAATTGTAACGGTAAAATAATAATTGTAATAATAAATAATTAGTTATAATTATTCAACAATCGCTCACAACATTGTCGCTCACAACATTATCGCTCACAGCATTAACATCAGGACAAACTATAAACATCAGGAAGTTTTTTAATGTTTCTTTATAATATATAATGCATTGTTAAAATAATATATATTTATGTTTTTAATCTAAATAAAGAGGTCATAACTTTTTAAACTTATTAAGGTTGTTAATATAAAGTTTTGTTATTTTGCTATTTTGTTTGCTTATTAAGGTTGTTAATAAAAAGTTTTGTTATATTGCCAATTTCATTGAAAATATAAAAATCTTATCATAAATTGAAAAAATATTAAAAAATTTTTTTTTTTTTATGTTTATTAATATTTAAAGGTAAAAAAAACTCCAATTGAGATATTTAATGTTAATTTATTAATAGATTAAGGTAAATGATTAATGCACTTTTAAAAAAAAAGCTTCAAATTACACTCTGCAAGAAAAAGGTGTATGAAAAGATCCTTTATAGCATAGTCTTCCATTAATATATTTTGATTTCAAATATAATATATCCAGCACTTTTCATATCAGTCTTAAATAAGCGGTTGAATTATTTAACAGTCTTAAAAATTTTCTTATTTAAAACCTTTTTATTTCAATCTTTTTTATTTCAACCTCAAAAGTTAAAATTAATTGACCTCATGGGAAAAACATGTGCATTCATTTTTTAATATGTCGAGATTTATGCAATTTTCACCATAAAAAAGGTAGCAGGTAAAAATCTGTTAATGCAAGGACTTTTTTTCTTGTTATGAAGTGCTTTACCAAGTCATTTATTAGGCAAAATTTTACTACTTTATGAATTATTTCAAGTGAATTTAACATGTATTAAATTTTTTCAAATTCATAAAACATAAGTTAACATTTTTATGAAACATGGTCCTCATTTTACACATAATTATCACCATTCCTAAGAGTTTTATTGAAAGCATTTTCAAATATCGTTTTGTTTATTTAAATAAACAATTTTAAGGAATTCTTGTATATATATATATATATATATATATATATATATATATATATATATATATATATATATATATATATATATAGTTTACTATATTTATATTTGTTTTCTATATTCATAATTGTTTTATTTTATATATAGGATTCTTTTTTTGGTATTGATCAAACAAAATTGCTTCATGTGGAACTTTCAGAGATAAGCAGAAAGCTTCATGTATTTATTCTTTTTTTTATAACATTTATTACCTGTATTTTTTATGTGTTTTTTTTAATTTGAGTTTTGCGTCTTATTAAAAGCATGTTAAGTTTTATGTTCAAATCTTTTTTTAGTACAAAAGTCATCTACTATTATTGCATTGACCAAAAATTTGTATTTCAGTCAATGCAATTATATTAGATTCCAAGTTCCTTCTTGGTTTACTAAAAAGCCTTAGTATCTGCATCTTAGACAGGGCCTCGAGGGCCTGGGCAAAAAAATTTTTTGGGGCCCTAAACAATCCTGAAGACCAAATTTTTTTTTCCACGATACCTCATTTAAAAGTTGAGCCCATTAAAATCATGGTGCACAGGCTGTAGTCTTGTCTGTCTATAGGTAAATCTGGCCCTGTCTGTAATGTGAATCAAAAGATAAAATAATATCTTTAGTATATTCTTTTATAAGTATAAGACTTTTATAAAATTAACATACTACAATAAAAAATTGAGCTTTCTAGTTTTTGAAGATGCAAAACTATCAATAATCTTTTCAACATTTATGATGAAATCTCTTTGGATATGCATCATAGCTAAGCTATTTATTCGTTAGCTCTCAAAGTTCAAATTCTGAAAAAACTTTCATTAATTGGACATTCTCATCAGCAGTATTTATATTGGGCAGCCCTTTCATTAAACTCAGTATATTAGATATGGATGCTGTTAACTCTGTCTTTCTTTTATTTAATAAATTTCTAGGTATTGCTACATTTAATTCAAAAGAGTTCAAGGTTTCATCAAAAAATCTAAACTGTTAATCTAGAAGTATGCTCTCAAGTAACAGTAAATAAACATTGACTCTATAGTAAGTTAGAGGATCATTGGTATTGAGGTTTATGCGATTAGCTTGTTTTCCTGTAATTCGTAGAATCTTGGTTTTTGAACCTAAGTCTTCTAGTAACAGATGCAGTCATAAATATAGCATTAAAGTTTTCTTCATTCTGTCTTATCTTATTTAATACCTTTATGGTATGTTTAAGAATAGTTTTGGTATATTCCTTATCCATTTTTTTTTTTAAAGAGCTGTACTTAAAGAGACTGTGGTATTTAACACATTGACTAATGAACAAAGTGTTATTACAAATAAGGGCTTAGATATTGCATTTTTTAGTAATGTGGCCTTTGTTGAAGAATCCCATTCATTCCACTTAGAAATCAAATCAAAAAATTCCACTTAGATATCAAAATATAAAAAAGTGTTTCTACTATATTCATTAAACAAGATCTAAAACTTAACACAGAATCATGCTGTTCAATCCATCTTGTTTTGTATAAGCTTGTAAGCATTTTCTTATTTATATATTCAAGAATGTTACTTCGCTTTCGCAAAGCTTTAAAAAAATGATATTCTTTCATTGTGCCAATTGTATTTCTTACAGCTCTTGAGATGTGCAGACGAACATTTGCAAATTGATAAGTTTAAAGGATGATTGTAACATGGACTTTTTATTGCGTTTGGTAGGATCTTCTGTAATTTTGTGATTCCATTGTTTTCACTTAACATAAAGCTGCATCCATCAGAACCTATACCAACACAATCCTTTAAATTTAAGTAAAATTTGTTAATGTGTTTGCAACTGTGTTTGCTAATTCTCTAGTTAATACAGTATCATAAGTAAAGTCAGAATAATTTTCAGTATGGCAGTTTACAAAACCAATATAATCTTCACAGATTTCACAGGTACTAAAATCAATATATCTTAATACAACTGTCATTTGAGAACTATGACTGGTATCCATTATTTCATCATATAACGCTTGGTTTTCATTACAAATATCAACCACAAGACCTATGTACCATTCTTTATCGCAAAAGCATGCAATATATTTACGGGGTTGAAAATTTGAAGGATTTATTTTAATCAAATTAAAATCATTTATAACATGAGTATCATAGACAGTATCATTAGAGGCTCTTTGTAAAAACAATTTTTCTCCATCTGGTACAAAACAGTGATAGCTTCTTGTTCCCGGAACTGTGCGCATTGCCCCATATTGTTTCATGGTTATTGATATCATTGCTTGAAAGATAAAATATGTTAACACCTTTGATGTTTTTTTGAGCCCATGTAAACAGATCTTGTGGTGTGAGAATCTGATTTGTAATTGCTGTTAATGTTAATGGACTAGCTTTTGCTGCTTCTCTTTTTATAGTACTTCCTATTCCATCACATGGACTTTTGCCATGTGACGTAGCAAAGAAGTGATGCTCAGCATTTATTTGGTGATCTATAATGTGATAAATTAAGTTTATTACACATTTTTAGTTTTTATACTGTGGCGCAACACCATCACTGAAGTATTTTACTTTATTCACTGTGGGTAGTTTGATTTTGACCATCGGGAGCAACTTTGTGAGAAAACAATGGACTGCTGATTGGTCGTCACAAAGATGGTCAGAAATAGCATTAAACAATAGCATTCACATTTAAGGTAATCTTTTTCATCTTCGTAATAAACAGCAAATGGGTGTAAGGTAGCTTGATCGGCTTGCCAGTAAAACCCTTGTATAGCATCTTGTATAAGAAAACTATAGTTCTCTGCAAAATCCATCAGAATAATGCAGGTATATTGGTCTAATATTTGTTTTGCCTCTGATAAGTAGGAAGACTGTGCTTCTTTGATGAAGTGTTAGTGACAAAGGCCATACAAAGTTTCACTTAAAGTTTCAATAAATTCACTAATGCTTGTTTGGACTGCAATAAGTGCAGTTTGGTCAGTTGACACCCATTGTTTATATGTGATCTGATCATCAAAATCAGAATCATTCTTTTCAAACACATTTTCCAAGTAATTCTTCAAATTTATTTTACCAGAGCAGTTTGAACATAGATGAAACATGCAGTTTCGACTATCTATATTACAAACACATACTTTTATTAAATCTTTGTAATATATTAAATGGCTGTTAGGAAGAGCAGAGCACATCAACTTAGCATTTGATGGTAAGAATATACACAAACTGAGTGGCTTCCACTACTATCAACAGTAAGGCACCTTTTTGACCTTAGTTCACAGAACTTGCTGAATCCAACTTTGTGTTCAGGGTATAACTTCTTAAACTCCAGATGAAGTTCTTTTAAACAAACTAATATTAAACGTTTTTGTTTATGAACTTTAACATTATTTATACACACAGAAACAAAGTCTTTTTTTCCTGAACATTGTCTAGTGTATTCGGCAGATTCATATATTTCAATGAGTCTCTGTTTAACAATATTCTCCTAAGGATGTCCTTTTTTAGCCTCAGGTTTAGCAAGTATTCCCTTTTCATTTTTCAGCTTTCTAGCTTTCTTAACAAGATGGTCTGAAACTGAAAATGCATTGCAAGTTTTTATAATTGACCAACTATCAGAAGTTAATGTTAGTAACTGAACTTTTTCTTCATTCAAACTGATTTTTTTTTTTTCCTTAAATGCATCTATAAGTTTGTCTAAATCATTACAGTTAATGCACTTTTAAAGTTCGAAAAAATGTTTATAATGTTGCAATATTTAGCAACTTTAAGGTACAATAACTCAAAAGCTGTATAAAATCAGTCAAAAACAACTGCAACAATGGATTATTTGGGTGAAAAACTATTACCCTACAAAATTTCAGGTGATCACCATCTTTATTTAAAAAGTTATGGTTTTTTTTTCATAAGATCTATGTGTGGTCAAAATTTAAAGCAAATCTGAGGTGGTACCCTGCGAGCCTTTAGGTGATTTGATATGGAATAACCCAGTTATTTTAATGGTTGTTAAAATTATTGTCCCCAGCCCTCACTCAAAAGCGAAGTGATTGCTGAAGATTGCCATCATTAATTACTGTAGAGTTTTGATTTATTTCAAAGATCTGCCCATCATCGCGATGACCAAAGAAATATTGTCGACCAAGAAATATCATAGATTTAATTATAGGCTTTAATCGTTCTCGATTTTCTTTAGCCTGTATAAGTCTTCCTTTGTTAACTAAATTACGTACATCTGTAGAGGGACATTCATATGTTCTGATGAAATCTGATGCTGCTAACATAGCAACTTAGTGATATGCATTGCAATCATGTAATTGTAAGTCACCATCCTTACCCAAAAACTTTGAATAACTTTTAAAAGGTATAGTAACTAGCTTGAGTAATTGCACTTGACTGTGTATTCCCCCAACTTTTGCAAAAAGAAAGCAATACTTACAAAAAGTTCCACAAAAGCATTCTGAAATCATTATCCACGGAAATTTATGTATATGTTTCTTGGACAAAAAGCAATTAACATTCTTACCCTTCTTTAAATGCACAGAATATTTTTAATCTGGACCAAGAAACCAATTGCATTTCAATATTCGGTATTTATCTTGTTCAGTTACCTGATGTATTAAAAATGTCGCAATGTCCATAGGCAAACAGCTATCATCTTTTATCTTTGGTATTGAATCTTTTTTATTAATTTCTGCATTAGTTTTACTTGTAAAATTAGCAGCTTCCATACCAAGTCCAGGTTCTGAAGAAAATTTTTTTATTGTAATTTGATTATTTTCAGCCATGCCAATAAATGCACAATTAAATTGTTCAAATGATGGCACCGAAAATAAAGGCAAAACAATAGGACCTGCATAGTCCTGTATTGGAAGAATTTTAATTCTTTTGACAAAATAGTCATCTAAAAAGCTTGTCTTCTTTACCCTGTTGGTCATTGTAGCTAATAAAAATAATTTCATTTACAGGGTTTCCCACTTCATTTCGACAACGTATCATTCAATTTTGACATTGTATGAGTACATTTCGACAATGTTTCATTCAATTTCAACACCGTTGCATTTGATTTCGACTGTTTTGCATTCAATTTCGACAGCGTTAATAATATTTAAATTAATATACAAATAAAGCAGTTAGATTCTTTCTAAATTCATTTAGATAATATAATTTTTTAGTTTGGATACAAACTAAAATATAAACAAAAAAATTATCGTATATAAAGTATTGTAATTCCAAATACTTGCTAATAAAAATAAAATAAACAAAAGTAAGTTTATTCTTCAATAACTGGTTCTCTTCTTGAACACGGAATCAAATACCTCAGTACGTGCGCAAAATAATTATTACAGTTTGTGCTAGTAATATTTAATTCACCGTTTTGTATATTTTTAAGCAGTTCCTCCTCAGTTCTAGACGAACATCTTCTGATAAACTGTTTCCATTCAGAAAATATATTTTCAATAGGGTTTAAAAAGGGGGAATATGGAGGTAAAAATATCAAAGAATGCCCAGCACGTACTATTTCATTATGAGCAACAGCAGTTTTATGAAAGCGAACATTGTCTAAAATTAAGATAGCTCCAACAACTTCATTAACAGCTAATTGTGCTTATACTAAACAAATAAAATCTAAAAAGCTTTCTGTATTAAATGCTCTTGTTTGTGCTTCATATTTCAAAAATTCCGTTTTTGTTCATTGCACAACAGACGGAAATATTTCTTAACCGTATATTGGTCACTGTTTGTGTGGCCCTCTTTCCAGCTAAAGAACGTCCTCTTCTAACTCGCATTGAAAGACTAAATCCTACTTCATCAATAAAGAATATTTTATTGTCATTCATAGAAGGCAAAATGTTCATGAATCTTTCTGCATAAGAAGCTCTTTCATTAATAACGTCTTCCGAATTTCTTCTCTCTGGAATATTGTGAACACGTTTCAAAGTATAATTAAAACTATCAATGCATCTTGCTATAGTAGATTGACTGACTGAAATGGATTTTTGCTCAAAAAGTTTTTGTTTAATTTCCTTAAGAGTTATTCCACAATTATCATCAATTCAATTTTTGATTAGTACCTTGGATTCTTCTGTTAATTTTTTGTTTCAAGAACCACCTTTTAATTGTCATTCGTTCGGCAAACCATTTTTATATATTTTCAATAATCGAATAGATTGTAGTTTGTTTAAATCCACGAAATAACATTAATTTATCTTTTGATGAGAATTTAATTATGTATTGTTAGGATATTTTCCAAAGCGTAGATATTTTATTTTTGGCAATTAGACATAATTTATCCAGTCAATAAAAATAATGAATATAGCAATTAAAAACAACTATTATGGTAACTTGAAATAATTAATATCCACATTATTTATTTTACCTATATATTTTACATATATCCAAAAAAATATTGAAACCATATTCATGATGTCAGTATCCACTTTAAATAATGCAGAATTAAAAAAATAGCCACATTAATTATTTTATTGTCCCGATTAAATTCAACCCATTATTATTTAATAAAAATTTTCATCTTAAATATAAATACTTTAATTCAAAATAGAGTGTTTTTAAAATGTCGAAATGTGATGCAACAGTGTCAAAATTGAATGCAAAAGTGTTGAAATGTAGTGATTCAATGTCGAAATTGAATGCAAAAGTGTTGAAATGTAGTGATACATTGTCGAAATGAGGTGAGAAACCCTGTAAAAAATAAAATGAAATAGTAAAAATCATTTGTCATTTATTTATTTAAATTAGTAATAAACACTTTTGTTTTCTAATTAAAAAACTAATTCATAAGAAGTTTACTAAAAAAAAAAGTTCTTTGTGTCATTTAAATACAACTTGAAGTGTACATACATTAATGTGATATAAATTAAATTGTTACAATTTCAATTGTTGAAAAATAAATACTTTTTTATTGAAATTTTACCTACCAAAAACAGCATTGCTTATATAAATTATATTACAAATTAAAATTAAATTAAAAAATAAATAAGTTTACTATTTAAACCAAATCTATATTTTTTTTTTCAAAAGTTTTTAAAACAGTTTTACAAATTTTTTAAAATATTATTTTATTGTTATTTAGTTATATAATAGAATGAATTAATGATGGTAACATTAAAATGCTTAGGAACTTTTATTGTTTTTCTTCCATATTATAAAAATGTTAAAAATTTAACAGATTTTTTTTGTAATGCTATAAAATAGTTTTAGTTTAGTAAAAAATAATATAGTAAATAGTTGGCTGCAGAATAATTTTTTGTATTTTGTTATTTCTTTTATAAATTTTTAAATAATATTTTGATGTTTTACATTTCTTAGGAGGAGGGGGGGGGGTAGTTATCCTTCCCCCCCCCCCCCCCCCCCCCCTTCCCTTCTTTCTCCTTCTTTGTCACCACTAAAATCAGAACTGTATATTTGATGAAGTAAAATAAAAACACTTTATATATGAATGTCTTAATTGATTACATTTTTATTTCCTAATTTTTATTTTTATTTTTTTAATTTATATTCATTAGTGTTGTATAATTTAGCATGAAAGCAAAAAGTTGCATCTACAGGAAGTCATGTTAAATGAAAAAGAAGCTAAATTAAATAAGATTGAAAATAAACTTGCTGACTATGCTCTTTCTTTGGAAGAGATTGTTGAAAGTGTGAAGAAGAAATCTCAAGAATTAGAACAAGTATTTTTTTTTCAAGATTTTTATATAAAAAATGTTGTGTATTTCATTCTATGTTTGTTTTGTGTTAATTGATAGCATTCTTATGTTATTACTATTGTTATGTTGCTGTGCTTTATGTTAGTACTACTGTATTATTGATTATTGATATATGCTGATGGTCATTTCAGTATGACATCTGCAATGACAGCTCATGCTGACTTAAACTTCATTATAAGATTTATACTATAATATCATAATCATGTAATTATATATCATAATTACATGATTACTCTGATCGTGTTTTTGTGACACTTTTGTACTATGATGAATATTACAATAAACTTTTAGTAATGTATTCATTATGGTGTATTGAATCATCACATTTTTGTGCTTTTGAATTCATTTAAATTGCGTGTTTGTGTAATTTAAATTGTGCTGAATGATTTTAGGAGTTTATTGTCAAAATGGAAAGTTTAAAAAATGAAAATGTCAAGTTTAAAAAATCTTTTCAAATGATAAAGAAAGCTGGCGACAAAATGAAAGAAAAAGTATATTTTTTTAAAGTTTATTTTTACGCAGTAAGTTTTTGTATTTAAGTTTAATTAATAGTATTCAAAATTCTTTAGATTTTGTTTTTGCAAGAAAAATTACAACATAGTGAAGAAAAAAACTTATCCCAACAACATAGAATAACGAATTTACAAGTAAATTATGTGCATATCATTGTTTTTTATAATTTATTTTTTTAATATGAATTATTAAGTGCAGCTTAATAGCCCTAAAATTAGTAATTTTATTTATTTGTGATTGTATTTGAGATAAAGATGTGAAAATATGTTTTTTTTTATTTTCTTAAAATAATTTTCTCAGCGGCAAGTTGACATTTTAAAACAGCAGCTAAAAGAACAAGAAGCTCCAAAAGCTAAAGTAAAAACAGGTAATGTTTAGAAAAATTTTTTCTGTGTGTGTTGTGTGTGTGTGTGTGTTTATAAGGCGGCGATATATGTATACATCATTGCCTCAGAGGGTGACAGTGCCATCTCCTTAATGTTTAATTTTACAGGAAATTTTAATTTTACTAAAAGAAAGTTTGAGCATTCAGTATAAATCAGCAATTTGTCTTTTTGTAAATATTACTGCTTTTAAATAACCTCAAACATTTAGTTAAATTGGATATAACTCAATCTGTTCAATTCTAGTACTTTTAAATGATGGTCTTAACAAAATGGTTTTATTTTGGCAAATTTTGGAGATTGTACCTTTGTCCTAAAAGGTGATGATATACATAATTATTATTATTTTTTAATTTAATTTTTATTTTTGATTTCTTGTTCAGATTTAAAGAATGACGAAAAAACAAGTAAAGTAAGATGCTGAAATAGTTGTAACTTTTTTGCCAATTGTTTGTTTTGTTTTTTTTTTGCTATCTTGACTTTACATAATAAAAATATTTTTAAAAGAAGTTTACATTTTTTTTTATGAGTTTTTCAAATGATTTAAATTTTAAAAAATTTAGGAAGTTCTTTAGTCATAATACAAACTTTTTTCTTAAACAATTTTTTGATGTTTTCAGTTTAAGGTTCAAACCAATGATGCATTCTATGTTGATAGCATCATCACGATGCTTGTATATTTAGACAGTTCAGTTTTTTCAAGTTTTTTCTTATGCCTCAATCTTTTTCTTTAAGATCTCTGCTATATATTTATTTGTTACATTTATGTATATATTTATTTTTTACATTTATTTATATATTTATTTGTTGCATTAATTTATATATTTATTTGTTACATTAATTTATATATTTATTTGTTACATTTATTTATATATTTATTTGTTACATTTATTTATATATTTGTTTGTTACATTTATTTATATATTTATGACCATCATGTTCTTTGTCAGATACACTTACTAAAAGCTTACTAGAAATTTTTTTGATACTTTTAAATCTCTTTTGAAACCTCTTGAATTTCTTTGGTACTTCAAATCTCCTATGAGATTTAGAAGTGTCAAAAAAATTGTGGTGCTGTTTTTTATTCTCGTAAAAAAGCAATTAGCAGTTTACAATTTTATTTTATATTAAATAAGATCAAATTTTTTATTATTTTAAAATAAACAATTATCTCAAACATGCTCAGAGTATTTTAGTTATCTTTTTTATTTATTTCTGGTAATAATAGATTGTGAGTGATCTTACACAAAATCCACTCTCTTGATATTAGAGTAGTAGGATAAGGTTGCTTAAATCCTACTAGTACTTAAGTCATACCAATTAAATTCTGAATAAAATACGGCTACAATAGCACAACCAATGACAACCAAATTACATGGACCAAGTTGCTTTATGTGTGATTGTCTGTTGTAAACAAACCTCATTATAAATTTTATTGACTAAGTTTATTTTGGTTTTCTTATAATTTTTTGCCTATGTTTAGTAGACAATTTCGCAATAAATTACTTATAAAATTAGGTTCTTTTATAAACATAAATTTAATAGAATATGTATAACTGTTTGGTTGAAACATTTTATTTGATGTTAGGTTATGCTTACTTGTAAATTTGATTTGCAACATGTCTTAAATTGTACTCATATCAAATTTGTAAATTGCACTGGTTTAGATTGTCTCCAAAAATGAACTAGATGGTGGTTTTGAAAATAAAGTTGATGGTAATTGAAGTTGAAGTTAAAAAAACTTGAAAATTAATTTGATGTTGCTCTTTGAAGACTTCCTTACTGGGCATGAAGAATCAAAAAGATTTTCCTGCAGTGATAGATGTGTCTTAAAGCAAAATGAAACTGCAATTAAATATTTTAGCTCTTATTCCAATAATAAACAAAAGCAAAGAGTTCTATGCAATATATTCTACCTTATTAGTTAAAATAATCTCAAAAATAATAAACAAAAAATGCAGCAAATGAAAGAAATACAGTAATTAATAAAATCGAATTAGGGTTAAAAACTAAAAAAACAAAAGGCAATTGGTTTGTTTTAATTTACAAAGAAGATCAGGAGGAAAATAGTTCAATGCTTAAAATGCATTGGTGCAAAATAAATGTTTTTGAATTAATATTCATTACCTTTAACCAAAAGTCTTGTGCCTAGCTTATTCAAAGCCCTTGTAGACAACTATTTTATTGATAAAAAAGGTGCTTACATCTGGTGCAAAATAATGAGTCCAGTAGAAACTATATTTATTGCCATGTATTTCTCTAAACTATCTTATCAGAACTTAACTTGAAGAGAAAATTTTTTGTTTAAATTATTAGTTTTTATGGCCTAATTTTTAGAATTATATTTTGTTATATTTAAAATTTATTTGTATATATATATTTTTTGCTTTACGTGATCAATAAATTTTTTGACTATGATTCTTTTAATCTTTGTTCTTTCTAAATCTCTATTTGTTCTTGTGATGTTCTCTAAACATCTGTTTGTTCTTGTAATGTTCTCTAAAAATGTGTTTGTTTTTGTGATGTTATAATATACGGGCTCGTTTTATGGCATTTTTCATATAATATACGGGCTCGTTTTATGGCATTTTTCATCACTTTGACGAGAACTTCAGGCGACAGATTCTCGCACTTGTGTCGAATGTTGTCCTCAAAAGCTTCCAGGTTCTCGGGCTTGTTCACATACACATGGGACTTCAAAAAACCCCACAGAAAAAAGTCTGGAACGGTGAAATCGGGCAATCTTGCAGGCCAATGCAAATCGCCAAAACAAGAAATGAGGCGACCCGGGAACGCCGCCTTCAGAATATCAGTTGTGGTTTGCGCACTGTGTCCCATTGCTCCGTCTTGTTGGAACCACGTGTCTTCTTGTCCTAATTTGTTCAATTTTGGCAGAAAAAAAACCAGTTAAAATGGCTTTATAGCGCGCACTATCCACTGTTGTCGTTTGACCAGCGGCGTCCTTGAAAAAAAATCGCCCGATGACTCCTCCAGCGTGAACAGCGCACCATGCAGTCCCTTTCAGCGGGTGTAATGGCTCCTCATGCATCACTTGTGGATTTTCGGTGCCCCAGAAGCGATAGTTTTGCTTGTTCACGTCCCTGCTGAAGTTGAAATGAGCGTTATCGCTCATTATGATTTTGGTCGAAAAATCGTCCACTTCATGCTCAAGATTGAGAATGGCTTGGGCGTAGGTTACATGCTTTTGGCGGTCGACAGGCAGCAGCTGCATGGACTAGTCTTTGTACAGGAACATTTGCAGGTCTTTCACCAAAATTTGCCTTTAGGACAACCGGCGGATAACTAACTGTGAGGTACGGCGTCTGGTCGATGTTTCTAGTGAGAGCAAAAAAATCCTTGGCAACAGCGGCGATATTTTCGGCAGAACGGGCGTTCCAGGGACGCCCACTCTTGGCAACGTCTTGTGTTGTTCCATACTCTTGAAGGTTGGCGGCCAAACGGCGCAGTGTTTGGCCGCCAACCTTCGAGAGTATGGAACAACACAAGACGTTGCCAGTCTTGTGTTGTTCCATACTCTCGAAGTATGGAACAACACAAGACTGTTTCTTCTCACAAGACGTTGCCAGTCTTGTGTTGCCAGTCTTGTCGGCCAAACGGCGCAGTGTTTGGCCGACAACCTTCGAGTCGATGCCAGATGACCAGGGATCTGTGGTTCAAACCCCACCTCTGGGCAACTTATGTGACATCGGTTGGAAAGGAGGCATGAACTTCCTATTAAATGCTCTTCCGCTCTGTGCTCTGTGATAAGACCGTAAGGACTTCTTGGGGCACCTAAATCAACTTTAAAAAAAAAAAAAAATTTACAAAAATCAATTCTTTCTAAAATTTCAACAGATATTGAGTTGTTTTCATTTGACTCAAAAAAGTTTTTATATGTATATTATAAACAACAACAAAAATATTTAATAAAAAATTAGCTTTTTTACTGAAATAAAACTGAAATTAAAATTGTTAAGGTTTGTTTAGTTTTTAGATACAATTTGTACAAACTTTGTTGGATCTGTGTTACAATGGATAACAGAAGGTCATTTAATTGAGAAAGTCAAAAGTTCTATTGCCAACATAAAAAATGGCAGCCAAATGGCAGAATCTGATTTTGATGTTAATGTTACCAATGAAAGATGTATGAAGGTAAGAAAATTAAAAAAACCTTTTATTTATTTTGTATCAATTCGTAAATTTAATATTTTTTTATATGGAAAATATATTTATAAATTATTTATAAAAAAATATTTTTTCCTTTATTATTTTTTATTGTTATATCTGTTATTAGTTATTAAGTACAAAACTGGTTTATTGACTAATATTCTAATTAATTGTCTAATATGCTTCCTTATAAAAAGCATTATTCTGTATAAAGGCTGTTTAAGTTTAAATTTAAAATGTACAATTAGCTTTTCAATAACTTATTTTATCACCTTTTTATGAATATTATCTCAATAATATTCATTGAAAGTTGATAACATTATTAGTCTCCTTTAAGATCCATAATTGCTGGATTAAATAAGATTAAAAATAAACAGTTGTAGATCAAGTAAACGTCTTATTAACAAAATTTATTTATCAACAAAACTTTTATTATTTATTTACTAATAAAACCATATATTGCCACTTTCCAGCAGGCTGGAAAGCAAGACTCTGATAAACACTTGTTAAATAGTTTTGAAAGTGTAGACAACAGCTCTGGAGAACACTTCTGCAAGACTATAACAGGTAAGTTGTCCAGACCACAAGCTTTAGAAGAGTCTAAGCAGGAAATCACTTAAGATATAGAAATGGGAGTGATATGAAGGTAAGGCAATAGATTATACTGTTTGTCAGCTATATCAGGTAGAACGCAACTATTTGAATCTTGAAATTATATTGATGAGAAGTTCTTAGCAAACAATCCATTTTCTCTTTAGGTGAGATGACAAAATTATACAAGAGAGTTGAAATAATTATATATACTTTTAAAGATTAGAATTTACAAAAAGCCTAATTTTTGAGATTAAATATGAGATTTGGTGACCTGAGAATAGCGGGCTTTGCCAATTGACAAAACCTTTTTACAATGGTTTCTAGCAATAGCAAACAGGCGTCTTTTTGGGGGTGAATTGTTTTGCTAATAGAAATAGAAGTAACGCTTTCGATTGGAAATTGCAGCAGCACAGTGTGAGGAAAGCCATGGAGAAGAGTGAGGCTTGACCTAGAATCGTTGAGAGGGAATAAAGGATTCCATGCCAACCTGAATCCACGAAGTTATGCAAGAAACACATTTGTCAGCAGGAAGGCGAAAGATATCTACTTAAGGGCCACCACAAAGAAAATCATGGAAAGAGTCCCAGACAGCTTTAAGGTAGTTGTAAGAGTTATGATGATAGGGGGATTCAAATGATGAAGAAGAATAAGATAATAGTTTTAAAGAGATCAAACCATGATCAGAAGCACCTAAGTGTGAATGTGGAAAAACTGAACACTGACTAGGATCAGAAACAAGACATAAGTTGACTAGAGAAGGTAAATGATTTGGGTTGTCTGGAAAGCGAGTTGGAAAGTTGACTATTTGAGTAAGGGATTGAGAAAGGCAAAAGTTGGGCTTTAATGCCTGCAGAGTCTCTGACACTAGAGCCAAGCCATTCAGTGTGATGAGCATTAAAGTCACCAACAACAACAATATTGGCTGATGTATAAAGAGAAAGGGCTTGGTCAATTTGATCAGAAATAACATCAAAAAGAGTGCAGTCTTGAGATGAAAAAGAGCCATATAGAACAAAGAGAAAAGCGATAGAGTGAAGTGGAGCTAAACAAAAGTATATAAAAAATAGTCTGTGGATTTAAACCTAGTTTCCCAACAAATGGTTGACTTAGAAGCAACTTAAAAGCGTAAAAGCAGCTGTTGTGCAGTGGTAGCGTACTTGCCTCAAAAACATAAGATCCGTGGTTCAAACCCCACCTTTTGGCAAGTTTTGCAACATCTGTTGGGTAGGAGGCATGAATTCCTATTAAATGCTCTTAAAGGATTATTTAAGATATGTAAACACTCAGCATTTAGAGATCTCTTTAATTATTTTGACTACTTCACCTAAAAATCTAGTTTAAATTAATATATAGATTCTTTTATATAAAAGAATACCTACCAAAAATTTTCTTTTCAAGCACATGAGATATTCTTAAACACACAAAAAGCTTTTTTATTCCCGGATTTTTCCGGATATGTCTTATTCCAGATATGACCATTCACTGTATGCACTGTTTTCACTGTATGCACTGCATAAATTTTTATGTTATAAGTGTAAACTTTTTTAATCCTTAAGTTAATATACTTTTTGTATATCATAGAATTTGTACTGATGAATTTAAATTTTTTTTTAGGTGCTTGTAACCTTTCCATCTCTTATTGAACATATATCTCAACAAGAGGAACTTTTTATTCTTCAGTTTATATATTGGTCTCTAATTTATTCTTGCCTCACAAAAAGTTCGCAGGTATGTTCAGGCTTGGTCGGGAAGCGGGTGCGATCGCACTCGATAATTGACCACGGAAATTATATTTACTTGCGAAAAGCCGGCCAGATTTTTCAGGCGTTTTGAGAACATTTCAGTTTATGTATTTTTCCTTGTTTGTCCGCAAAATAATAAGTTCATTTTATCGTAAATTTTAAAAGATTTTGTTTTACGGATGTCCAAGGAAACTTATATAAACTTGAATGTTGTCAAACATCTTAGTGTGGAAAAATAAAGAATATTCGCGAACACAAAAAACCTGCCAAATTTACGAACAACTAATTCTATTGGTTCAATTAATAAATAACTGAAATTACTAAGCGACTGTTCTAGAGTTTTCTGTTAAATTATTTTTCAAAATCTTTTTTTTTTGTTTTTGTTTTTGTTTTTGTTATGTTTTCGTTGAGAATTCTAGCATCCATTGTTTTAAGAATATACTATCAAACGAACAATTATTTTAATACAATGGCTCATTCTCGGAGTCACATCCATAAAGCTATAAATGTTTTAAACTAAAATTTGTTTACAAAAATAAATGTTTTAAATTTATATTTTTTAACTTGTCAACGTTTTGTAAATATATTATAGATTTAATTAGTATAATCTTATTTTCTATATGTAAGGGATGTATTTATATGTATGTAATGTATTAGAAATTGGTTTATTAACTTCAATTATTTTTGCTTCAGCCATTCTTACAAACTCGTTATACTTACACTTAAAGTTTTTTTTTTTCTGTAAAATACTAGTTAAAGATATAAAGCCCACTTGCTAAACATCATCAGCGATATTGTTAAGCAGTTCCGCTTCCTCCTTACAAAGTAATGTAACGTTTTTAGTTAATTTCTATCTAGCTAATTAAATTTCCACAGTAACTCAATGATTTTGTTATTCATTTGTTCATCTTACTAAGAAGAATTGTTTCAAATATGTTAAACTTTTCAAACTACGCGAAGCATAAAACAAGTCCTAAAAAAACTTTTTTTATTTATAATTAAATTATGTAGCGTTAGTTTTATTGGTTTAATCTTGTTGGACTTTACAGGGCCGGGGGCTGCATTATTTTGGTGGCCTTTTTATGTGCGACAGCGTAAAAATGACTTAAAAATACCGATAGGTCCTCTTGACTATTTCTCGGCCCATAACATTGTGTGTCCTGGGACTATAGCTCTTCTACCCCCCCCCCCCCCTCCTCTACTTTTTTTTTAAATAAAAAAGTATAAAAGAGCGACGTTTCAAAAATATTTGCTCTAATCGTATTTATTTTGCTTAAAGTTTTGCGTTAAAAGCTTTTTTTTTTTTTTTTAACTGTCTCTCATCGGTCCATTTTATCTTATTGCGCTTTTTTGCTTGTTTTTGAAATGATCTCAAAACGCCTAAAAATTCTGGCCGGCTTTTCGCAACTAATTATAATTTCCGTGGTCAAATATCGAGTGCGATCGCACCCGCTTCCCGACCAAGCCTGAAGTATGTTTATCACTATTCACACTTTTATATAAATACATAGTTTAATAAATTTTTAAACAGAAAATTCATTAAAAGTTTTTTGACATTGATATTTAATTTTTTATCCATTAAATCTTTTGCAAAAATCCCTAATGCTTTGTGAGAATAATTTAAACTGTTTCATCTCTGAATCTGTTTCATCTTCAGATCTCAGTATTGATGGCTTTCTTAAAGATTCTAATAGTCACAATCTTGGTCTGATACTTACATATCAATTTACCTATTTTTTATGAAATGTTTTTTAATTATTCTTTTATGTTCTTTTGTTTAGCACTTTTTCACTCCTTTCTCTTTGTTTTTTGTTCTTGTTTTTCTTTAGACTGCACTCCTTTAAATTTTCAACACGTAGAATGACTTGGCTCTTGCACCGCTGACCTTGCTGGCTATATCCTCAATTCTGGTTTTTCTAATGAAGCCCTTTTTTTTAAACAAGGTCCAAAATTGCATTGTAAATGTTGTTAGATCTGTTCTGCCAAGCTTGTTCTTCTGTCTGATCTTCATAGAGTTGTATTCCTTTTTGTTTTCTACAAATAATACCATGGTATGCTTAACTGAGCTATCATCCCTTGTTCCGTCAATCGAAACTCAATCTTGGGTGACTTGTCATTTAGCAAAATTACATCCTTTTGCTTTACCTGTTTTTTTATGGTTAAAAAAACTTCCTATTTGCTTTTTTCCTTTTGGTGCTTGAAAATTCTCCTCCGTCTTTTTTTTTTTCTGGCTCATACAGCTTACAGTTTTTTTGCTTTCTTACTTTTTAACTTTGTGTTCTGTTGATATATCTTTTTTAATTGCTTTTTTACTTTTTAACTTTGTTTTAACTTTGTGTTCTGTTAAATATCAAAAGAAAATGAAGAGTAAAAAAAAACAAGTCAAATTAATTATAAACAATCACTTAAAAAGTAAATACTCAAAATTAACACTTAAAATAACAAACAAAAGAAAATTCTAACATTGATTTGTACTTACTTTTTTTTTTGCCAAAAATTTTTTGAACCTTTTTTTTTTGCCAAAAATAACATAAGATTTTTTTTTTTGTTATTATTATTATTTTTTTTTTTGTAGAAGTTTTTGTGTTTGCATTTTCGTTTTGTTGCTATTGCTTTCAATTTGTAGTTTTTGTATTTTGCCTTTTCGTTTGCGTAAAGTTTGTAATTATTTGTGTTGTTGTTTCTAATTATTTTTATTGTTTGCTGCTTTTCTGTTTTACTAATTTGTCTACACTTTTCTTTTTTCGCTGGTTAACTAAAGATTGTTATTACTTTTTATTTAATTTAATTTTGTAGAAGTTTTTGTGTTTGCATTTTCATTTTCTAGTTTTGGTGTTTTGCCTTTTTGTATGCGTAAAGTTTGTTTTTATTTATTTTTATTTGCTGTTGTTCTTAATTGAGTGCTTTCATAATTTTTATCTTATTTAATTTATTATAGCTTTATTGTTATTATTATTTTTAAATTACTTTAATTTACACATGCTTTTATTTAATATTATTGCTGCGTTTTTTTTTTGTTTTTTTGTTTTGTTTATTTTATTCTAGGTCACTCCATTGACTAGTTTTTAACTATATGAGTGACACCTAACCTAATTTTGGTAAAATTATAAACTTGTAATTTTTCAATTTTTGGTTGAATAAATGGATTAAAAAAAAAAATTAATTTTTTTGTATTTTTTAGTTCTGTGTTCTGTGTTACTTTCTTACTTTTTGACTCTATGTTCTGTTAATTTCTTTTTTACTTTTTAACTCTTTATTTTCTATAACTCTATAATTTTTAAATTAATAATCAAAAATATAATCTTAAGTGAAATGGGAATTAAATAAGATTTTCTTAAATAGAATTTTGGGTCTCTTTACAAACTTTTTTAGTTTTACTCCATTTTCATGGAAAATCTTATTGAAAGTTTAATCAGTTCAATTTATAAAATAAACAGCACTAGTCTTGGACTTAATCATGGTACTGATGTTTTTTTTTAAATGTTCTCAAGCATAATTTGAATTTGGGAGGCAAATAATATTAAAAAAATAATAATATTAAATGAGTTTTAAAAATTAAATAAAAGTAATATAAACATTTTATTGAGTTGGAAAAATCACAAAGTTTTTTATTTTGAATTATCTTATATTGCAAAAGTATCTGATTTTACTAAACAATCCCCAACTGCCGAGGTAAGTTATGTTCATATTAAAGAAAATGTTAAAAAAAAACATTTGGGCTTAGTTTTTTTGATTAAAACTATATAATGAATGCACACCATTAAATTTAAAATTCACGTTTTAGTCGAAGCTCATCGTCTCCATTTTTTTTTTGGTTCTCAGAGTCTGTATAATGTTAGCTGCAATCCGCAGACTTAATGATAATAATTTATACCATGCGTGTTTAATTCATAACAGTTTCGGTATATGGCGTCATCGTATAAATTTTTTCTTTCAAGATGTCGTGTTTTTTTTTTTTTGCCACAATCATGAAATCATGTTAATTGTATAACTTTTTACTAAATCCCAAAAAAAGTTTATGATGAAATTAAGAATTAAATTTATAAAATATATTAAAATAAAAATTTAATATATAGCAAATATTTACAGTAAACATACTAGTTTAAACTAAATACAAACTAGATACTAAAAGAATAATTTTACTAAAGCGTATAAGTTAATTTAAAGTATAATCTGAATAAAAAATGAGCGACTTGAATAAAACATATAAACTGAACTAAGTAGAAAATGAATGTTGAACAAATTATTTTACTAATAACCGTTCAAATCAAACTAAATTAAAGTTAAAACAATTATTTGTACTAAAATATAAAAAAAATAGTTATAATTTAAATATAAAAACAAAGAATCACATTAAATTGTTTGCTACCAACCACACAAAAATCTTTTTGTAGCAACTGCACATTTTTTTGAATAACATTTGAATAGCATTGACAGTTATTTAAAATTTGATAATAATAGTTTTTAACACGCATCATTAAACAATAAGAAATGCAAAGTACTATAAAACTATTGTTTTTATAAGTAATAACTAGTTAACTAAAACGTTAATTCCAAAACAAACCTCATAAATTGTAAAGCATACTTGAAAGCCGCTACCAGTGGCTTGCGGTACTGAAAGACTTAAACCATAACTCAATGTATATATATATATATATATATATATATATATATATATATATATATATATATATATATATATATATATATATATATATATATATAAATCACAAATAATACTAAATCACAAATATTTTTTGTGATTTAGTAAAAAAATATACAAACATTTGATTTTCTGATTGTAGTAGAAAAAATACTTAAATCTACAATAAAAAAACACCATCTTAAAAAGATATTGCAATGATGTCATATACTGAAACTGTTATGAATTAAACACGCATGGAATAAATTATCAAGTCTGCAGATTGTGACTAACATTACACAGACCCCAAAAACCAAAAAAAAATGGAGAAGGTGAGTTTCGAC